ACGACCACGGCGACAACGACGACGGAAACGACGACGACGCAAAAACGACGACGAGGACGAGGAAAGACAGAGGACGACGACGGCGACGACGACAACGACGACGAGGGAGGAGGGAGGACGGCGACGACGACGACGACGCAAGAGCGCGCGCGCACGCTTTTGTTGAACATTTGTGTTGCGAAGCCTTGAGTTTTTGTATGTTTTTTCGAGGCGCCCACGGGCGCCCACCAGGCGAAAACCCAACAACCAGCCACCACACACGGGGTGCCCACGAGGCGTCCACGGGCGCACACGGGGCGAACACCCAACAACCAGCAACCACGCAGATGGCGCCCACGAGGCGCCCAACGGCACCCTTCGAGCGGAGACCCAACGACCAAGTCCGATTACCTAGAAGATAAAGGATGGCATATCATCTCCCGCAGGTGCGAGCACAGCTCGGGGAACAACCCACACACGCGAAGCGTCAATCATTTTGTGCCTGAGGAGCTCCCCCTCTTTTTTACGCTGGCCATAGCTGCCAATTCCTTTAAGAACGGCACGCGCGGACGGCCTGCGGCGCGACCTCGGCCCCGGAGCCGCCCGGGGGCCCCCTCGGGCCCTGGAACGGCTCGGGGCTCGCGGCTCGCCGTCGCCCTGCAGCTCCCGCTGCTCCCCACAGCTCTTTGGCAGACGCTTTGGCTCCCGGGTGGAGCGCGTACAATAGACCCCCAGACCTCCAGCGCCGCTGAGACAAAATCGACGATGGCTGGCTTCCCCGGCACTTGGACAACCCCACCCCCTCGGGGACCGTTCCCCCGGGCCCCGCAGGCCATCCAACAAAGACCCGCGAGGGGAAGCCGGTCCTGGCGCAGGATGGGGTCGACAGCCTCGGGGGGCCGCGTCGTCAACAGAATCACGACGTCGGAGGTCTGCGGATGGGGCGGCAAACGGCAGCGTCGGGCAACGGAGGCGATAAACCAAAAGCCCCCACGGGGCAAACGGCCACCGCTGGCGCTCAGCAGCAGCCCTTCTTCTTCCCGGACTTGGTCTTGACCTTCTTGCTCCCGTCCTGCTTGGCGGCGCGCAGAAGAAGGGGGGAAAGGCGAGAGGGGCTGACGAGGAGCTCGTTCCGCCCTTCTCGCGGCCCGCCAAGGGGCCCTCACGGCAACGGCTGGACGCGGCTCGAAAAACTGGTCAGGATGGACCCCTGGGGGTGCGACCATCCAGGAAGGCCAAGTGCTTCTTGGAAGGCATCGGTCCCTTCTGAGAGGCTTCTGAGAGGGCCTCTGGAAAAAAGGCATGAGGGGGTCCTCCTGCCTCCTCAGCCAGTCGCCCCCCTCGCCCCACCCCCTTCTGCGCGGCGCCGATCCTTGCTCTTCTTCTCCTTCTTGGACTTCTTCTTCGCGCCCACCGCGTCGGCGGCGGCGTCGACCGCCGCCGTGGCCGCCTCCACGACAGGCGCCGCCGCCCCGCCCATGGCCGCGGCGTCCGCGTGGATCTCCTCCTCAGTCACGGGATGCCCGGCCATGAGCTTCTGGAACATCTCCGGGGAGATGTTCATGCGCTGCGGCTCCGCGGGCGCCGCGTACATCATCTCCTGCTGGGGCTCCATGGGCACGCCGGCCGACATCGCTCAGGCGTGGGCGGCCTTTCTGCGGAGAGGGGGGGTAGGCAGCGAAAAGGCACCCCGGGGGCGGAGCCACGACGGCTCGGGCGAACAAACGGCTTGAGAAGAGACGGCCGCGGGGGAGGAGGAGAGGAGGGGAAGCGGAGCAAGCGGATGAGGGCGAGGGTTAGAGAAGGAGCAGCGGGAGCAAGCCCTGGCCCGAAGCCTTTCGCAGCAGGGGAGTGAGGGCGCCGTACGGGCACTGGACCTTAAGCGCGGCACTTAAGCGCGCCACAGCCGCGCCCTTGCCAGCACCACAACCTTGCTGATTGGCTGGGTTGATTGGGCATAGAAGATTCAGGGGCAAAGCTCCTCCAACCACCTTCTTCCCATGAGGGAGGGCTTACCTCTACACCTGATCTACTGACACCCTCTCCACCACCCTATTGGCGACAAAACCGAAACCATATTCGTGTGGCGTGCGTGGCACGCGTCGTGCACCTGGCGTCTGTGTTGGTTCCCAGTGGCGGTCTATCCAATGGCAACGGCTGAATATGCTGAGGCCCGGGTGATACTATGTTGGGAGTGCGGGTGGGAGTGAGAGAGAAGTCTTGCGGCTTGTGTGTAGCCGTCCCCCTACCCCCTACCCCCTCCCCTGGGTCTTGAGAGGGGGGTACTCGAGGGGCTAATGTTTCTAAGATGGTCCAAGATGGACCCGGTAGAACACGATGGCCTCCAAGATGTCACAATGTAGCCCAAGGTGGCTTACAAAATTCCGACATGAGGCCTTAAGACCACCACCAGCCAGCTTCAAGTGGACACGAATCTTCCCAAGGGTATCCCCGATGAGCCAACATATCGATCAAACGCTACAGTCTTTCAATGATGTATGCCTTCTCACCTTTTCGCTTCCGATGGGCGTCTGAGGCCTCAAGATGGCTCCAAGCTCGCCTAATAGAGCCCCAAGAGGGGCCCCCCAAAAGCCCTAAGACGGCCCCAAGAGCGCCCAAAATGGCGACGTGGCTGGCTCCGTAAGGAAGCCTGTGACGGAGTCCGCGGCGGCCCGCTTCAATTTCTTTACACGCACAGAGTCACTGACACATTACGCATGCGTAGCATGGGTCTTGGGAGCTTTCGGGCCAAGATGGCTCCACAATGGCGCAAGATGGCCCGAGTTGGTTTCCGATGGCTTCCGATGGGCTTCTGGGGCTTCTAGGGCTTGAAGATGGCCCCAAGAGAGCCCAATAGAGGCCCAGAAGAGCCCTGGGACAGCCCCCAAAGCGGCACAAGAGCGCTCCAGGGCTTCAAGAGACGACTTTTCGGACTGCGACACGGGGGCTGTGATTGAGCAACCCCCTTTTTGGAGGATGGTCTCTTGGATCGCCCCGAGAGGGCCCGAAAAGCCCGCAAAAGAGCCCCCACAGAGCCCCCAAGGCCTCCTAAATGGTCCCGAGGCGGCCCCAAGATTATCTACAGAAACTTCCGCGAGACTATCATGTCGAACCATCCGAGAAGACATTTGTGGTTGACGCCTCGGTCTGCTCAGGTTGATCCCGCGTTCCGGTTTGACGGCTGCCTTCCCCCCTCGTTGTCAAAATGGGTGCTACTACATGTCCCGGATTAGAAAGTTTGCCAACATGCAGCAGACAAAAAGTTATTGTACTCTGGATATGTGGTGTTCGCAGTATGGTGCAATATTTGTGGTCTAAGCTATGCGGAGATGTGGTGTGAACTATGCGGTGTAAGCTATGAGGTGCAAGCTATGTGGCGCAGTTGATTTTAACAAACGAGATGAAACATCCCGTGCTCTTGCGAACATCCCATCCACCCACCCGTAACTTGGTTTGCAAAAACCATAAGGTGACGATTGCGATGCATGCTCGGCGTTGGCTGGTGCGTCTCCGCGGCCGCGCCAACCCAAGCACGCGCGCGCAGCGGCTGGTTGGTTTGGCACGACCGACGCGGCCGCGGTGGCGCTGATCGTTGGGCACATACCAGCGGGCACTTCATTGCGAGTCGGCGACTTGGGCGGGCTCGGTATCATGGCAACGTCGACAACGGTAGACGTTGCGGGCGAGTCTCCAACGACTTCGACGACGACGACGACAACGACGACGACGGCGACAACACCGACGACGACGACGACGACGACGCCAACGCTGACGACGACGACGATGACAACGACGACGACGACGACTACGCAGCCACCGCCGACGACGACGACGACGCCGACGACGACAACAACGTCGACGACGACGACGGCGACGACGAAGACGACGAAGACGACGACGTCGCCAACGAAGACAACGACGACGACGAGGGAGGAGGGAGGACGACGATGGCGACGACGACAACGACGAGGGAGGAGGGAAGACGACGACGACGACGACGACAACGACGACGGCGACGAAATAGGAGGGACAACGATGAAACGCCGACGAAGACAACGAAGGAAGAGGGACGACCACGGCGACAACGACGACGGAAACGACGACGACGCAAAAACGACGACGAGGACGAGGAACGACAGAGGACGACGACGGCGACGACGACAACGACGACGAGGGAGGAGGGAGGACGGCGACGACGACGACGACGCAAGAGCGCGCGCGCACGCTTTTGTTGAACATTTGTGTTGCGAAGCCTTGAAGTTTTTGTATGTTTTTTCGAGGCGCCCACGGGCGCCCACCAGGCGAAAACCCAACAACCAGCCACCACACACGGGGTGCCCACGAGGCGTCCACGGGCGCACACCGGGCGAACACCCAACAACCAGCAACCACGCAGATGGCGCCCACGAGGCGCCCAACGGCACCCTTCGAGCGGAGACCCAACGACCAAGTCCGATTACCTAGAAGATAAAGAATGGCATATCATCTCCCGCAGGTGCGAGCACAGCTCGGGGAACAACCCACACACGCGAAGCGTCAATCATTTTGTGCCTGAGGAGCTCCCCCTCTTTTTTACGCTGGCCATAGCTGCCAATTCCTTTAAGAACGGCACGCGCGGACGGCCTGCGGCGCGACCTCGGCCCCGGAGCCGCCCGGGGGCCCCCTCGGGCCCTGGAACGGCTCGGGGCTCGCCGTCGCCCTGCAGCTCCCGCTGCTCCCCACAGCTCTTTGGCAGACGCTTTGGCTCCCGGGTGAAGCGCGTACAATAGACCCCCAGACCTCCAGCACCGCTGAGACAAAATCGACGATGGCTGGCTTCCCCGGCACTTGGACAACCCCACCCCCTCGGGGACCGTTCCCCCGGGCCCCGCAGGCCATCCAACAAAGACCCGCGAGGGGAAGCCGGTCCTGGCGCAGGATGGGGTCGACAGCCTCGGGGGGCCGCGTCGTCAACAGAATCACGACGCCGGAGGTCTGCGGATGGGGCGGCAAACGGCAGCAACGGGCAACGGAGGCGATAATTAAATCAAAAGCCCCCACGGGGTAAACGGCCACCGCCGGCGCTCAGCAGCAGCCCTTCTTCTTCCCGGACTTGGTCTTGACCTTCTTGCTCCCGTCCTGCTTGGCGGCGCGCAGAAGAAGGGGGCAAAGGCGAGGGAGAGCTTACGAGGAGCTCGTTCCGCCCTTTGCGGGGCCTGCCAGGGGGCCCTCACGACAACGGCTGGACGCAGCTCGAAACTCTGGTCAGGATTGACCCCCCAGGGGGCGACCATCCAGGAAGGCCAAGGGCTTCTTGGGAGGCATCGGTCCCTTCTGAGGGGGTCCTCCTGCCTCCTCAGCCAGCCGCCCCCCTCGCCCCACCCCCTTCTGCGCGGCGCCGGTCCTTGCTCTTCTTCTCCTTCTTGGACTTCTTCTTCGCGCCCACCGCGTCGGCGGCGGCGTCGACCGCCGCCGTGGCCGCCTCCACGACGGGCGCCGCCCCGCCCATGGCCGCCGCCCCGCCCATGGCCGCGGCGTCCGCGTGGATCTCCTCCTCAGTCACGGGATGCCCGGCCATGAGCTTCTGGAACATCTCCGGGGAGATGTTCATGCGCTGCGGCTCCGCGGGCGCCGCGTACATCATCTCCTGCTGGGGCTCCATGGGCACGCCGGCCGACATCGCTCAGGCGTGGGCGGCCTTTCTGCGGAGAGGCGGGGGGGCAGCGAAAAGGCACCCTGGGGGCGGAGCCACGACGGCTCGGGCAAACAAACGGCTTGAGCAGAGACGGCCGCGGGGGAGCAGGAGAGGAGGGGAAGCGGAGCAAGCGGACGAGGGCGAGGGTCAGAGAAGGAGTAGCGGGAGCAAGCCCTGGCCCGAAGCCTGTCGCAGCAAGGGAGTGAGGCCTGAGGGCGCCGTACGGGCACTGGACCTTAAGCGCGCCACAGCCGCGCACTTGCCAGCACCAGAACCTTGCTGATTGGCTGGGTTGATTGGGCATAGAAGATTTAGGGGCAAAGCTCCTCCAACCACCTTCTTCCCATGAGGGAGGGCTTACCTCTACTCATGGTCTACTGACACCCTCTCCACCACCCTACTGGCGACAAAACCGAAACCATATTCGTGTGGCGTGCGTGGCACGCGTCGTGCACCTGGCGTCTGTGTTGGTTCCCAGTGGCGGTCTATCCAATGGCAACGGCTGAATATGCTGAGGCCCGGGTGATACTATGTTGGGAGTGCGGGTGGGAGCGAGCGGGAAGTCTTGCGGCTTGTGTGTAGCCGGACCAGTCCCCCTACCCCCTCCCCTGGGTCTTGAGAGGGGGGTACTCGAGGGGCTAGTGTTTCTAAGATGGTCCAAGATGGACCCGGTAGAACACGATGGCCTCCAAGATGTCACAATGTAGCCCAAGGTGGCTTACAAAATTCCGACATGAGGCCTCAAGACCACCACCAGCCAGCTTCAAGTGGACACGAATCTTCCCAAGGATATCCCCGATGAGCCAACATACCGATCAAACGCTACAGTCTTTCAATGATGTATGCCTTCTCACCTTTTCGCTTTCGATGGGCGTCTCAGGCCTCAAGATGGCTCCAAGCTCGCCTAATAGAGCCCCAAGAGGGGCCCCCCAAAGCCCTAAGACGGCCCCAAGAGCGCCCAAAATGGCGACGTGGCTGGCTCCGTAAGGAAGCCTGTGATGGAGTCCGCGGCGGCCCGCTTCAATTTCTTTACACGCACAGAGTCACTGACACATTACGCATGCGTAGGATGGGTCTTGGGAGCTTTCGGGCCAAGATGGCTCCACAATGGCGCAAGATGGCCCGAGTTGGTTCCGATGGCTTCCGATGGGCTTCTGGGGCTTCTAGGGCCTGAAGATGGCCCCAAGAGAGCCCAATAGAGGCCCAGAAGAGCCCTAGGACAGCCCCCAAAGCGGCACAAGAGCGCTCCAGGGCTTCAAGAGACGACTTTTCGGACTGCGACACGGGGGCTGTGATTGAGCAACCCCCTTTTTGGAGGATGGTCTCTTGGATCGCCCTGAGAGGGCCCGAAAAGCCCGCAAGAGAGCCCCCACAGAGCCCCCAAGGCCTCCTCAATGGTCCCGAGGTGGTCCCAAGATTATCTACAGAGACTTCCGCGAGACAACAATGTCGAACCATCCGCGAAGACATTTGTGGTTGACGCCTCGGTCTGCTCAGGTTGATCCCGCGTTCCGGTTTGACGGCTGCCTTCCCCCCTCGTTGTCAAAATGGGTGCTACTACATGTCCCGGATTAGAAAGTTTGCCAACATGCAGCAGACAGTAAGTTATTGCACTCTGGATATGTGGTGTACGCTGTATGGTGCAATATTTGTGGTCTAAGCTATGCGGAGATGTGGTGTGAACTATGCGGTGTAAGCTATGAGGTGCAAGCTATGTGATGCAGTTGATTTTCACAAACGAGATGACACATCCCGTGCTCTTGCAAACATCCCACCCACCCACCCGTAACTTGGTTTGCAAAAACCATACATAAGGTGACGATTGCGATGCATGCTCGGCGTTGGCTGGTGCGTCTCTGCGGCCGCGCCAACCCAAGCACGCGCGCGCAGCGGCCGGTTGGTTTGGCACGACCGACGCGGCCGCGGTGGCGCTGATCGTTGGGCACATACCAGCGGGCACTTCATTGCGAGTCGGCGACTTGGGCGGGCGCGGTATCATGGCAACGTCGACAACGGTAGACGTTGCGGGCGAGTCTCCAACGACTTCGACGACGACGACGACAACGACGTCGACGACGACGGCGACAACACCGACGACGACGACGACGCCAACGCTGACGACGACGATGACAACGCCGACGACGACTACGCCGCCGTCGCCGACGACGACGACGACACCGACGACGACAACGACGGCGACGACGACGACGGCGACGACGAAGACGACGAAGACGACGACGTCGCCAACGAAGACGACGACGACGACGAGGGAGGAGGGAGGACGACGATGACGACGACGACAACGACGAGGGAGGAGGGAAGACGACGACGACGACGACGACAACGACGACGGCGACGAAATAGGAGGGACAACGATGAAACGCCGACGAAGACAACGAGGGAGGAGGGACGACCACGGCGACAACGACGACGGAAACGTCGACGCAAAAACGACGACGAAGACGAGGAAAGACAGAGGACGACGACGGCGACGACGACAACGACGACGAGGGAGGAGGGAGGACGGCGACGACGACAACGACGACGCAAGAGCGCGCGCGCACGCTTTTGTTGAAAATTTGTGTTGCGAAGCCTTGTGTTTTTGTATGCTTTTTCGAGGCGCCCACGGGCGCCCATCAGGCGAAAACCCACGAGGCGTCCACGGGCGCACACCGGGCGAAGACCCAACAACCAGCAACCACGCAGATGGCGCCCATAAGGCGCCCAACGGCGCCCTTCGAGCGAAGACCCAACAACCAGGCCCGATTACCTAGAAGATAGATCATGGCAGATGATTGCCCACAGTTGTGCCTGAGTAGCTCTCCCCCTCTTTTTTACGCTGGCCATCGCTGCCAATTCCTTTAAGAACGGCACGCACGGACGGCCTGCGGCGCGACCTCGGCCCCCGAGCCGCCTGGGGGCCCCCTCGGGCCCTGGAACGGCTCGGGGCTCGCCGTCGCCCTGCAGCTCCCGCTGCTCCCTACAGCTCTTTGGCAGACGCTTTGGCTCCCGGGTGGAGCGCGTACAATGGACCCCCAGACCTCCAGCGCCGCCGAGACAAAAATCGACGAGGGCTGGCTTCCCCGGCACTCGGGCAACCCCACCCCCTCGGGGGCCGTTCCCCCGGGCCCCGCAGGCCATCCAACAGAGACCCGCGAGGGGAAGCCGGTCCTGGCGCAGGATGGGGTCGACAGCTTCGGGGGGCCGCGTCGTCAACAGAATCACGACGTCGGAGGTCTGCGGATGGGGCGGCAAACGGCAGCGACGGGCAACGGAGGCGATAAATCAAAAGCCCCCACGGGGCAAACGGCCACCGCCGGCGCTCAGCAGCAGCCCTTCTTCTTCCCGGACTTGGTCTTGACCTTCTTGCTCCCGTCCTGCTTGGCGGCGCGCAGAAGAAGGGGGCAAAGGCGAGGGTGAGCTTATGAGGAGCTCGTTCCGCCCTTTGCGGGGCCTGCCAGGGGGCCCTCACGGCACGGGCTGGACGCAGCTCGAAAAACTGGTCAGGATGAACCCCTGGGGGGGCGAACCAGCGAACCCCCAGGAAGGCAAAGGGCTTTTTGGAAGGCATCGATCCCTTCCGAGAGGCTTCTGAGACGGCCTCTGGAACAAAAAGGCAAGACAGAGTCCTCCTGGCTCCTCAGCCAATCGCCCCCTCGCCCCACCCCCTTCTGCGCAGCGCCGGTCCTTGCTCTTCTTCTCCTTCTTGGACTTCTTCTTCGCGCCCACCGCGTCGGCGGCGGCGTCGACCGCCGCCGTGGCCGCCTCCACGACGGGCGCCGCCGCCCCGCCCATGGCCGCGGCGTCCGCGTGGATCTCCTCCTCAGTCACGGGATGCCCGGCCATGAGCTTCTGGAACATCTCCGGGGAGATGTTCATGCGCTGCGGCTCCGCGGGCGCCGCGTACATCATCTCCTGCTGGGGCTCCATGGGCACGCCGGCCGACATCGCTCAGGCGTGGGCGGCCTTTCTGCGGAGAGGCGGGGGTGGCAGCGAAAAGGCACCCTGGGGGGGGGCCAACGGAGCCACGACGGCTCGGGCGAACGAACGGCTTGAGCAGAGACGGCCGCGGGGGAGGAGAAGAGGAGGAGAAGCGGAGCAAGTGGATGAGGGCGAGGGTGAGAGAAGGAGCGGCAGAAGCAAGCCCTGGCCCGAAGCCTTTCGCAGCAGTGAAGTGATGGCGCCGTACGGGCACTGGACCTCAAGCGCGCCACAGCCACGCACTTCCCAGCACCACAACCTTGCTGATTGGCTGGGTTCAGGGGCAAAGCTCCTCCAACTACCTTCTTCCCATCAGGGAGGGTTTACCTCTATTCCTGATCTACTGACACCCTCTCCACCACCCTACTGGCGACAAAGCCAAAACCATGCTCGTGTGGCGCGCGTGGAACGCGTCGCGCACCTGGCGTCTTGGTTGGTTCCCAGTGGCATCCAGTGGCGACGGCTAAATATGCTGAGACTACGGTGATAAGTACTATGTTGGGAGGGCGGGTGAGAGTGAGCGGGAAGGCTTGCGGCTTGTGTGTAGCCTGACCCGTCCCCGTCCCCCCTCCCCTGGGTCTTGAAGGGCGGGGGGACTCGCGAGGGGCTAGTGCTTCTAAGATGGTCCAAGATGGACCCAGCAAAACAAGATGGCCTCCAAGATGTTCACAAGGTAGCCCAAGGCGAATCCCAAAATGTCGACATGAGGCCTCAAGATCATCAGCAGACAGCTTTAAGTGGACACGAATCTGCCCAAGGATACCCCCGATGAGCCAAATCTCTCTCACAACCTAATACGTTTCAATGATATAGGCCTTCTCACCTTTTCGCTTCCGATGGGAGTACGAGGTCTCAAGGTGGCTCCAAGCTCGCCCAATAGAGCCCCCAGAAGGAGTGGCCCAGAAGAGTCCCAAGACGGCCCCAAGAGCGCCCAAAAAGGCGTCGTGTCTGGCTCCGACTGGAAGCCTACGACGAGGTCCGCAGCGGTCCAATTCTATTCCTTGACAAGCACAGAGTCATTGAAACATTACGCATGTGTTGGATGGGTATTGGGAGCTTTTGGACCAAGATGGCTCAAAATGGCGCAAGATGGCCCGAGTTGGATTCTGCTGGTATCCGATGGGCTTCTAGGGCCTGAAGATGGCCCCAAGAGAGCCCAAGATCGCTGCAGGGTTCCAAGAGACGATTTTTCGGGACTCCGCCACGGGGGCTGTAATCGAGCAACCCCCTTTTTGGAGGATGGTCTCCTGGATCGCCCCGAGAGGGCCCGAAAAGCCCGCAAGAGAGCCCCCAAAGAGCCCCCAAGGCCTCCTGAATGGCCCCGAGGCGGTCCCAAAATTATCGAAAGAACATGTCGAACCATCCGCGAAGACGTTTGTGGTTGACACCTCGGTCTGCTCAGGCTGTTCCCGCTTTCCGGCTCAACGGCTGCCTTCCCCCCTCTTTGTCAAACTGGTTGCTCCGACGTGTCCCAGACAATAAATGTTTGCCAACATGCAGCAGCCAGTGAGCTATTGCACTCTGGATCTGTGGCGTACGCTAGATGGTGCAAGCTATGTGGTGTAAGCTATGCGGAGTAAGCTATGTGGCGCAATGTACGTGGTGCAAGCTTGTATGTGACATAAGCTATGCGGTATAAGCTATGCTGAGCAAGCTATGTGGCGTAATCTACGTGGTGCAAGCTATGTGGTGCAGTTAATTTCTGTTCGCAGTGAGTTGTCCACTCCACTGCTCGCGCAAACATCCCACCCACCCACCCGCAACTTGGTTTGCAAAATCTCTTCAGACCGTGACGGTGGGTACCAAATGGCACTTGGCAACGAGAGCGACGCCGACGACGACAGCGACAACGACGACGACGACGCCGCCGACAACGACTACGACGACACCGACGACGTCTCCAACGACTTCGACGACGCCGACAACGACGACGACGACGACGACGACGACGACGACGACGACGACACTGACGACGACGACGACGCCGACAGCGACGAGTACGACGACGATGACAACGACGACGACGATGACGACGCCGACGACGACAACGACGCCACCGACGACGACGACGTCAACGACGCCAACGACGACGACGACGATGACGACGACGGCGGCGACGACGACGACGCCGACGTCGACGAAGACGACGACGACGACGCCGACGCCAACGACGACGACGAAGACGACGACGACGTCGCCAACGAGCGAGGAGGGAAGACGACGACGGCGACAACGACGACAACGACAACAACGACGAGGGAGGAGGAAGGACGGCGACGACGCGAACGACGAAGGAGGAAAGAAGCGCGACGCCGACAACGACAACAACGACGAGGGAGGAGGGAAGACGACGACGACGACGACAACGACGACGACGACGACGACGACGACGGCGACGAAATAGGAGGGACGACGACGAGACGCCGACGACGGACGACGACGACGACGACGAGGGAGGAGGAAGGACGAGCACGGCGACAACGACGACGGAAACGACCACAACGCCAAAGAGGACGACGACGACGAACACGAGCAAAGACAGAGGACGACGTAGGCGACGACGATGACGACGACGCGGGAGGAGGGAGGACGGCGACGACGACGACGACGACGCAAGAGCGCGCGCGCACGCTTTTATTGAAAATCCGTGTTGCGAAACCTTGTGTTTTTGTATGTTTTTTTGGACACACGATTTTGAAATCCTTCCGAAACCGTTGGGTTGTGAAGGATTTCGGCATACGCGCGCGACGACGCGCGCGTCTGCACTTCGTCCCATTTTTTGCAAAGGATTCTCGCGACGGCACACGCGCCAGGGCGTTCGACAGATTTCGACATGCGCGCGCGAAGCGGGTCTGGTAGCATGTTGTGAAAATATTGGAAAACCTATGGTTTTCTTAAGGTTTCGCAAGAGCTCGCGCGTAAGCTTTTTTAGCAAATCAGTGTTGCGAAACCCTGTGCTTTTTATGTTTTTTGGAAACTCGATTGCGAAATCCTTCCGACACCGAAGGTTTTTGGAGGATCTCGGCATGCGCGCGCGACGAAGCCCGCTTGTGCACTTCGTCTCATTTTTTTGTCAGGGATTCGCGAACAAGTTTTTATGTTAGAAAAAATGTCCCCGCGTATCGTTGTTTACCAGGGAACCTCAGGGGGAGCGATACCGGCCCCCTGGGATACTGTAAATTCATATTCAGGATGGACATGTGGTCATAATCATATATGATTTACATACCCGAAAGGGGGGCGGATAACGCCGGGGGGGGAGGGGTAGTCTATTCTCTTTCTAGAAAGGAGAATCTAGATATTGCAAACCAGGTGCTGCAGACTATGTTATGCAAGTTGTCAGGTGCAAGCCATGTAGTGCAAGCTGTGTGGTCTAAGCTCGTGATGCAAGCTATGTGGTGTGAGCTATGTTGCGGCAGTGACTCAAGCAGATACATCTACATCGTAAGTATATTGCGCAGGCTCCTTGGTGCAAGCTAACTATGGGGGTGGCGACGAGGCGCCCACGGGCGCCCACCAGGCGAAAACCTAACAACAAGCCACCACACACGCGGGGTGCCCACGAGGCGTGGACGGGCGCACACCGAACGAACGCCCAACAACCAACAACCACGCAGATGGCGCCCACGAGGCGCCCATAGGCACTCTTCGAGCGGAGACCCAACAACCAGGTCCGATTACATAGAATATAGATAGTGGCAGGTCATCACCCGCAGGTGCGAGCACAGCTCGGGGAACAACCCACACACGCGAAGCGTCAATCATTTTGTGCCCGAGGAGCTCCCCCTCTTTTTTACGCTGGCCATAGCTGCCAATTCCTTTAAGAACGGCACGCGCGGACTGCCTGCGGCGCGACCTCGGCCCCCGAGCCGCCCGGGGGCCCCCTCGGGCCCTGGAACGGCTCGGGGCTCGCCGTCGCCCTGCAGCTCCCGCTGCTCCCTACAGCTCTTTGGCAGACGCTTTGGCTCCCGGGTGGAGCGCGTACAATGGACCCCCAGACCTCCAGCGCCGCTGAGACAAAATCGACGATGGCTGGAGTCCCCGGCACTTGGGCAACCCAAACCCCTCGGGGGCCGTTCCCCCGGGCCCCGCAGGCCATCCAACAGAGACCCGCGAGGGGAAGCCGGTCCTGGCGCAGGATGGGGTCGACAGCCTCGGGGGGCCGCGTCGTCAACAGAATCACGATGTCGGAGGTCTGCGGATTGGGGCGGCAAACGGCAGCGTCGGGCAACGGAGGCGATAAATCAAAAGCCCCCACGGGGGAAACGGCCACCGCCAGTGCTCAGCAGCAGCCCTTCTTCTTCCCGGACTTGGTCTTGACCTTCTTGCTCCCGTCCTGTTTGGTGGCGCGCAGAAGAAGGGGGCAAAGGCGAGGGGGAGCTTACGAGGAGCTCGTTCCGCCCTTTGCGGGGCCTGCCAGGGGGCCCTCGCGGCAACGGCTGGACGCAGCTCGAAACTCTGGTCAGGATTAACCCCCTGGGGGTCGACCATCCAGGAAGGCCAAGGGCTTCTTGGGAGGCATCGGTCCCTTCTGAGGGGGTCCTCCTGGCTCCTCAGCCAATCGCCCCCCTCGCCCCACCCCCTTCTGCGCGGCGCCGATCCTTGCTTTTCTTCTCCTTCTTGGACTTCTTCTTCGCGCCCACCGCGTCGGCGGCGGCGTCGACCGCCGCCGTGGCCGCCTCCACGACGGGCGCCGCCGCCCCGCCCATGGCCGCGGCGTCCGCGTGGATCTCCTCCTCAGTCACGGGATGCCCGGCCATGAGCTTCTGGAACATCTCCGGGGAGATGTTCATGCGCTGCGGCTCCGCGGGCGCCGCGTACATCATCTCCTGCTGGGGCTCCATGGGCACGCCGGCCGACATCGCTCAGGCGTGGGCGGCCTTTCTGCGGAGAGGGGGGGTAGGCAGCGAAAAGGCACCCCGGGGGCGGAGCCACGACGGCTCGGGCGAACAAACGGCTCGACCAGAGACGGCCGCGGGGGAGAAGGGGAGGAGGGAAAGCGGAGCAAGTGGATGAGGGTGAGGGTGAGAGAAGGAGCAGCAGGAGCAAGCCCTGGCACGAAGGCTTCCGCAGCAGGGGAGTGAGGGCCACATGCGGGCACCGGACCTCAAGCGCGCCACAGTCGCACACCTGCCACCACCACAACCTTGCTGATTGGCTGGGTTGATTGGGCACAGAAGGTTCAGGGTCAGGGAGGGTTTACCTCTGCTTCTGCTTTAGAGACACCCTCTCTCCACCACCCTACTGGCGACAAAGCCGAAACCACGCGTCGCGCACCTGGCGTCTGTATTGGTTCCGAATGGCTGTCTATCCAATGGCGACGGCTGAACATGCTGAGGCTACGGTGATACTATGTTAGGAGGGCGGGTGGGAGTGAGCGAGAAGTCTTGCGGCTCATGAGTAGCCTGACCCGTCCCCCTCCCCCCTCCACTGGGTCTTCAATGGGGGGGAACTCGAGGGGCTAATGTTTCCAAGATGGTCCAAGATGGACCGGGTAGAACAACATGGCCTCCAAGATGTCGCAAGGTAGCCCAAGGTGGCTTCCAAAATGCCGACATGATGCCTCAAGACCACCACCAGCCAGCTTCAAGTGGGCACGAATCTTCCCAAGGATACCCCCGATGAGCCAAAATCTCTATCAAACGCTGCAGTGCTTTAGTCATATATGATCGCGGGCTCCGGGCCCACGGGCCTCCCCCCCCAGATGGGATGGGTCACAGGGTCCTCGGGCCCCCCCCCCCAGATGGGATGGGGGGGGAGGAGGAGGAGGAGGAGGAGGAGGAGGAGGAGGAGGAGGAGGAGGAGGAGGAGGAGGAGGAGGAGGAGGAGGAGGACGACGACGACGGCGATGACGACGACGACAACGACGACGACGACGACGACGACGACGACGACGACGACGACGACGACGACGACGACGACGACGACGACACGACGACGACACCGACAACGACGACGACGACAACGACGACGACGCCAACGACGACGACGTCGACGGCACCACCAGCGGCGGCGGCGACGACGTCGAGCACCGGAGCTGTCAACATGACGCCAATCCCAGCCACAAGCCGCACCCACACCGCACCCACAGGGGGGGAGGGAGGTGGGGAGGAGGACCATGGCGTCACCCCGCACACACCCACAGCACAACACCACACCCACACCACATCCTCAGGGGGGGGAGCCACCACGCCACGCCCACGCCCACATGGGGGGGGTCAAGGCGCGCGGGGGGGGGGGGGGGGGGGCGATGCCATTAGCATTGGGGGGGGGGCCAAACCCTCGACCATATATGGTCCAGGGCTTGGGCCCCCCCCCTCCCCCCCCCAATGCTGATGCCATTGGGCCCCCCCCCTCCCGCGCGATGGTCCCCCCCGCCCCCCCTGCGGCGTGGTACTGCGCGCTGCGGTGCCCCCCCCCCTGTGGATGTGGTGTGGTGCTGTGGTGGTTCAGAGGTGAGCGTGGCGTGGTGCTGCGCTGCGGTGCCTCAATCCCCCCTCCTGTGGATGTGGTGTGGTGCTGTGGTGGTTCAGAGGTCGTCGTCGTCGTCGTCGTCGTTGTCGTCGTCGTCGTCATCGTCGTCGTCGCCGTCGTCATCGTCGTCATCGTCGTCGTCGCCGCCGCCGCCGCGGGCGTCGTCGCCGCCGCAGCCGTCGTCGTCGTCGTGGTCGTCGTCGTCGTCGTCGCCGTCGTCGTAGTCGTCGCCGTCGCCGTCGCCGTCGCCGTCGCCGTCGCCGTCGCCGTCGTCGTCGCCGTCGCCGTCGTCGTCGTCGTCGTCGTCGTCGTCGTCGTCGTCGTCGTCGTCATCGTCGTCGTCGTCTCTGGGACCATACCATCTGTGGGGGGGGGGGGCCCGAGGAATCCTGGGACCATACCATCTGGGGGGGAGGGGGGGGGGGACCCGTGGGCCCGGAGCCCGGGACCATATATGCCTTCTCACCTTTTCGCTTCCGATGGGCGTCTGAGGCCACAAGATGGCTCCAAGCTCGCTCAACAGAGCCCCAAGAGGGGCCCAACAAAAGTCCTCAGACGGCCACAAGCGCGCCCAAAGAGGCGACGTGTCTGGCTTCGAAAGAAGCCTGTGATGGAGTCCACGGCGGCGATCCGCTTCTACTTCTTTACAAGCGCAGAGTCACTGACAGATTACGCACGTGTGGGATGGGTATTGGGAGCTCTTGGGCCAAGATGGCTCCAAAATGGCGCAAGATGTCCCGAGTTGGCTTCCGATGGGCTTCTGGGGCTTCTAGGGCCTGACGGTGGCCCCAAGAGAGCCCAAGAGAGGCCCAGAGGAGCTCTAAGACGGCCGCAAGAGCGGCACAAGAGAGCTCCAGGGTTTCAAGAGACGATTTTTCGGACTGCGACACGGGGGCTGTAATCGAGCAGCCCCCCTTTTGGAGGATAGTCTCCTGGTTCGCCCCGAGCGGGCTCGAAATGCCCGCAAGAGAGCCCCCACAGAGCCCCCAAGGCCTCCTAAATGGTCCCGAGGTGGTCCCAAGATTATATAAAGAAACTTCCGCGAGGTAACCATGTCGAAGCATCCGCGAAGACATTTATGGTTGACGCCTCGGTCTGCTCAGACTGATCCCGCGTTCTCGTTTAACGGCTGCTGTCCCTCCTCTTTGTCAAACTGTGTGCCCCTACATGCCCTGGATCGAAATGTTTACCAACATGGAGCAAACAGTGACTTATTACACTCCGGATATGTGGTGTACGCTATGTGGTGCCAGATATGCTGAGCAAGCTATGTGGTGTAAGCTATGCGGTGCAAGCTATTTGGTGCAGTCTATATGGTGCAAGCTAGGTGCTGTAGACTACGGTGCGGGCATTGGATAAGGAACCCTTAGATCGGGAATCCAGGGTTTGGAAGCTAGTGGAACTCCAATCGTGGATCGGCCATGGATATTACCGCCGCCCTCATCAGAGAAGGAACCCTTCAGGGTCTCAAGTCTCCTGGGCACATTCCTTAACCAAAGCCCCCACCGTATGTTGTGCAAGCTGTCAGGTGCAAGCCATGTGGTGCAAGCTGTGTGGTCTAAGCTTTGTGGTGCAAGCAAGCTATGTGGTGCAAGCAAGCTATGTGGTGTAAGCTATGTGGCGCAAGCTCATGCAATCTAGCTATGGAGGTGGCGACGAGGCGCCCACGGGCGCCCACCAGGCGAAAACCCAACAACCAGCCAACACACACACACACACACACACGGGGTGCCCACGAGGCGTCCACGGGCGCACACCGGGCGAAGACCCAACAACCAGCAACCACGCAGATGGCGCCCACGAGGCGCCCAACGGCGCCCTTCGAGCGGAGACCCAACAACCAAGTCCGATGACCTAGAAGATGAATAATTGCAGATCATTACCCGCAGGTGCGAGCACAGCTCGGGGAACAACCCCCACACGCGAAGCGTCAATCATTTTGTGCCTGAGGAGCTCCCCCTCTTTTTTATGCTGGCCATAGCTGCCAGTTCTTTTACGCACGGCACGCGCGGACGGCCTGCGGCGCGACCTCGGCCCCAGAGCCGCCCGGGGGCCCCTCGGGCCCTGGAACGGCTCGGGGCTCGCCGTCGCCCTGCAGCTCCCGCTGCTCCCTACGGCTCTTTGGCAGACGCTTTGGCTCCCGGGTGGAGCGCGTACAATGGACCCCCAGACATCCAGCGCCGCTGAGACAAAATCGACGATGGCTGGCTTCCCCGGCACTTGGACAACCCCACCCCCTCGGGGGCCGTTCCCCCGGGCCCCGCAGGCCATCCAACAGAGACCCGCGAGGGGAAGCCGGTCCTGGCGCAGGATGGGGTCGACAGCCTCGGGTGGCCGCGTCGTCAACAGAATCACGACGTCGGAGGTCTGCGGATGGGGCGGCAAACGGCAGCGTCGGGTAACGTAGGCGATAAATCAAAAGCCCCCACGGGGCAAACGGCCACCGCCGGCGCTCAGCAGCAGCCCTTCTTCTTCCCGGACTTGGTCTTGACCTTCTTGCTCCCGTCCTGTTTGGCGGCGCGCAGAAGAAGGGGGCAAAGGCGAGGGGGAGCTTACGAGGAGCTCGTTCCGCCCTTTTCGGGGTCTGCCAGGGGGCCCTCACGGCAACAGCTGGACGCAGCTCAAAAAACTGGTCAGGATGGACCCCTGGGGGGGGGGCGAACCCCCAGGAAGGCCAGGTGCTTCTTGGAAGGCATCGGTCCATTCCGAAAGGCTTCTGAGACGGCCTCTGGAACAAAAAGGCAAGAGGGGGTCCTCCTGGCTCCTCAGCCAGTCGCCCCCCTCGCCCCACCCCCTTCTGTGCGGCGCCGATCCTTGCTCTTCTTCTCCTTCTTGGACTTCTTCTTCGCGCCCACCGCGTCGGCGGCGGCGTCGACCGCCGCCGTGGCCGCCTCCACGACGGGCGCCGCCGCCCCGCCCATGGCCGCGGCGTCCGCGTGGATCTCCTCCTCAGTCACGGGATGCCCGGCCATGAGCTTCTGGAACATCTCCGGGGAGATGTTCATGCGCAGCGGCTCCGCGGGCGCCGCGTACATCATCTCCTGCTGGGGCTCCATGGGCACGCCGGCCGACATCGCTCAGGCGTGGGCGGTCTTTCTGCGGAAAGGAGGGGTAGGCAGCGAAAAGGCACCCGTTGGGGGAGGCACGACGGTTCGGGCGAACAAGCGGATTGAGCAAAGACGGCCGCAGGGGAGCAGGGGAGGAGGAGAAACTGCGGAAGCAGATGAGTGGATGAGCGAGGGGGTGAGAGGAGGAGCTGGAGGAGCAAGCCCTGGCCCGAAGGCTTCCGCGGCAGGGAAGAAAGGGCGCAGCCCAGCGGGCACTGGACCTCAAGAGCGCCACAGCTGATCCCGCGCACTTGCCAGTAATTACCACAACCTTGCTGATTGGTTGGTTTGGCGCGCGAATCCCACAAACCTTGTGGGCGTATAATGTTTAGGGGCAAAGCTCTTCCAAGCAGTCTTCCCATCAGGGAGGGTTAGCCGCTGCTCCTGAATCGCTAAAACCATATCTACCACCCTGGCGGCAACTCCGAAACCATGTCAACACCCTCTAACCACTATCCCTGTTAAAGATAAGCCATACAACATACACTCTGCGGCAACATCTTGGACCATTCGTGGGCGCCCCGCGATGACGCTGCATTGCTTCTACGGGAGGGTCACGGGGGCATCGTCATATTGTCTGGTGCGTTGGCACACCATCCCTGGCAAACATTGATGCAAGGTGATTGCGAGTGCAGATGCCATACATCATCATCTTGGCCACCCTGCCGCCAGTTTGCTTTGGCTTCTGACAAGGATGGTGGGGTGCCAACATATTTGCTCGATGCGCGTTGGCACACATGGCGCGGGTGGAACACGCGCCACATATATATATTATATATATATATATATATATATATATATATATACACATATATATAATATATGTGTATATGTATGTGTAAATGTTTGTATGTATGTATGTATGTATGCATGCATGCATGCATGCATGGATGTATGCATGCATGGATGTATGTATGTATGTATGTATGTATGCATGTATGTATGTATGTATGTATGTATATGTATGTATATGTATACATGGCGCATGCGGAGCGCATGGCGCATCTGGCGCACCAAGCACACCCGGCATGCCTGGGCCCTTGGGTCGCCGGGCGCACCTTGTGCACGCGGCGCGCGTGGCACGCGTCGCAGGCCTGGCGTCTATATATAGGTCCCCAATGGCTGTCCATCCACTGGGAACCGCAGAATACGCTGAGGCTCGTTTGGTATTGTCTGTGTCGGGAGGGCGGGTGGGAGTGAACGAGACAGCTTGCGGCTGGTGGCCTCCAAGATGTCGCAAGGTAACCATAGGTGGCTCCCAACATGCGTCCAGGAGGCCCCAAGGCCACCACCTCCACCAGACAGCTCCAAATGCGCACGAATCTTTACTAGGAAATCCGGTAAACAAAAATCTCGCCAACATATGGATGTGGTTTTGCGATGTATGCCTTCTCGCCCTGTCGTTTCCGGTGGGCTTCTGGGGCATCAGGGTGGCTGTCTGTTTCACTCTCTCTCTCACTCTCTCTCTCTCTCGTTATCTCTCTCTCTCTCTCCCTCTCTCTACCCGGAGCGAGCGTCGGTCCTGACAATCGTCAGGCAACGAGCGACTAGTGGCCGGAGCGTTCAGCGGAGTGCCTGAATGACTACGTCGGCGCCGGAGCGAACGTCGGCCCTGAAAATCGCCAGGCAGCGAGCGACTAGTGGCCAGAGCGTTCAGCGGAGTGTCGGATGCGCTACGTCGGCGGGCGACATTGGACCCCCCGCCTCCGAGCGGCGCGGAAGGCGGACCACGCTGCGCCTTCTACGCCTTGTGGGTAGCATAATGAAGAAAGGGAAAAAAATTCTGGCGCGAGTCGTGGTCGCGGGGATCTTCTGACAAAAAAATGTGTGAAATCAAAATGGGGAGACTCCGGAGGGTGGTGGGCGGCGCTGGGCCCAATGCTCCGAGGGCGCTCCCGCGCGAGCCCGCTCACGCGCGGCGCGCACAAGCACGCCCCGAGGGCGGTTCCGAGCGTGCCCGCTCGCGCAAGGCGCCGTCCAGCGCGCTCCGAGGGCGCCCTCGCGCGCGCTCGCTGGCGCGCGGCGCTCATGGGCGTGCGATGATAACGTTTCCGCGCGCCCCCGCTCCAACGCGGCGCACTCTGGCGCGCCCGAGGACGCTCTCGCGCGTGCCCGCTCGCACCCAGCTCTCTCTGGTGCGAGGGCGCTTCTGCGCGCCCGCTCGCACGCGGCGATCATGGGCGCGCCCTGAAGGCGCTTCGGCACGCGCCCGCTCGCGCGCAGCGCATTCTAGCGCGCCCCGAGGGCGCCCCCGCACGTGCCCGCTCGCACGCGGCGCGCATCTGGCGCGCCCTGGAAGAAAAAAAAAAAAAAAAAAAAAATCCACGCGCGGCCGCTCTTGCGCGGCGCGCCCGCCCGCGCGCGGCGCTCATGGGCGCGCCCCGAGGGCGCTCCCGCGCGTGCCCGCTCGCACGCCGCGCATTCGAGTGCGCCCCGCGGGGGCGCCCGGGCGCCCCCGCTCGCGCGCGGCGCGCTCTGGCGCACCCCGCGGGCCCTTTCGCGCGCGCCCGCTCGCTCGCGGCGCCCTCCTGGCGCGAAAGCGCCTCCGCGCGCCCCCGCTCGCGCGCGGCGCATTTCGGCGCGCCCCGAGGCGCTTCCCCGCGCGCCCGCCTGCGCGCGGCGCACTCTGTTTCCACCGCGGCGCCCCAACAGAACTTGCCACGATTTCGAACTCACTTTTTTCAGAAAGTCAACGTGTTCTATAACACACATCGCGACCCCATATCACAAGCGATGGCGCGAGTAGGGTCGTAGTGAAAATCACGGGAGAAGCGGGCGCAGCAGGGGTTGGCGGAGAGAGGGGGGGGAGCGACCCTGACCGCCACGAGGGGGGCCCGAAGAGGTCTGATAACATTCTGGCGCGCTCCCTGCAGGAACGGGCGATTTGCACACCCCCGGGGGTCAACGCCCGAAACGACGAATTTAACGCACCTTGACACAGCAGCCGCGAACACAAATATTGGATTGTGACCCATATAATCATCGAATCGAACCTGCGTGTGGCTGGACCTGCAATTTATCCTAATTGGTTTCGCTGAGCGGCTGAATATATGGAGTTTGTTTTATTTAGTGTGTCCACGCTATATGCAAAGAACGCTCGCAAAACAGAAGACGACGAGGAGGGCGATCGCCCGCCAGGAGCGCCCCAACCACGGGAACTACCTGCACATGCTCCGCGTCGGCGGGGACACACGTTGCAGTTACCCCCGCCCTCCTCCCACCCCCATCCGCCGCAGGGGAAGAAAACGGGAGCATAATGAACGAGAGTGAAGAGGATGGGAGGAAGGCGCGGAAAAGGAGCGGAGGGAGCGAATGACAGGAGACTGGGAGACAAGCGAGGGACGGTGGGAAGGCGTATCTGGGCTCTCTCGGGCTCTCTTGAAGCTCTCTTGGGCTCTCTAGATCTGTATGAGGGGCCTCGGCGAGGCCCCAGGGGGGGCCCTTCGAAGCCTTCTTCAGTACCGCCTGGGGCTCGCCTCACTACAGCTGCCTGCGTGTTGGCGCGGTCGGAGTCGAAGTTCGTTGTTTCAAGCGCTATCTACGCATGTATCGAAATCTGGCTTGCTTGTATTACACCACATATCAGAAATACGCAATGCAAAAAGTGCCAGCACTGTTTGATGAAACTATTTCGCGCGATCGCTATGCTCGCGTACAGGCAGTGGAACTTCGCATTTCCTCGGAATCGCGTCGCGATTGCGAAGCGCAGACGCATATCACCAGGAAGCTGCCGCACGATTGCGGCGCACAAGGCCAAATAAGCAAGGCCCAAGAGGGCTCTAAGAGGGCCCTGAAGGGCCTCCAAAAGCAGTGAAAGTGAAGACACGCGAGCGCCCTTTCGCGTGACATAAATTACATTCCTCTTGGGGGCCGGTTGGTATTTTCCCGGGGCTCTTTTTGGCCTTTCTGGGGCCGTTAGGAACGCCTGTGGGGGTCCAAGAGAACCCCCGGAGGCCCCCAATGGAAGTGAAAGTTAAATCACGCGAAAGGGCGTTCGCGTGACTTCACTTTCACTGCTTTTGGGTGCCATTCGAGGCCCTCTTGGGCCTCTCTTGGGGCCTCTGGGGCCCTCTTAGAGCTCTCTTGGGGCCATCTTATGGCCATCCTGAAGCTCTCCTGGGGCACTCCTGGCGCCCTCTTGGGGCCCCCGCCGTAGAGTATCTCAAACGTCCGTTTAAAATCCTCTACCGCGGGGGGACTCTAGGAGCGTCTAAAGCCTCCAAGGGCGTGTCTTGGGGCCTCTGGGGCCCTCCCGGAGCCCTCTCGGGATCCTCTTAGGCCTTCTTGGAGTCTTCTTGGAGCTACCCCACGGCACTATATGCATGGACTGACCGCTCCATGACAAGATAAGGCCCTGGGGTTGGACCGCTCCGGCAGCGAGGCCGGACATTTCAGGCGAAAAATCTCAGGCCTCAAAGCAGGGTACTTGAAGCTAAACTTTTCCAGCCTCAAGGCCGGAAAGGCACGGCCTTTCATCAACATCATTACTCCGATTTTCAACCTCCGCCCCGACGGTTCTGGCTACGATTTTGAACACCCGCCCCTACGATTTTCAAACTACCCCACGACGATTTTGGCTACGATTTTCAGGATCCGCCCCTACGATTCTGAATGCGGGGTCCGCGAGCCGCCAGCACGATTTCGAAATGAGACCCTACGCCTAGAGAGAACGATTTGCGTTAGAATCTGGCGCCCGATCCGAAACGATTTCAAATACAATTCTGGCAAACAAAAATTTCGTGGAGGTGTCTCAGGCAAGTCGCCCCAAAAAATCGTATTGCAAAATCGTGTGCAAAATCGTGGTTGGCTTTTATGCTTCTCAGGGGAAGGCCCAGGGGACTCTGAAACACCACCATCAACACATGCTCATCATCATCCTCATTCCGCCAGCCGTTCCTCCGAACAGTTCCACCCATATCATGCTGTCGGTGACAGCTCCAAAAACGAATGCGCCGCTAAACCACAACCGCCATTCAACGCACCAAGCGACCGTGGCCGTCGTCGCCGCCGTAATGTTCGTCATCGTCAGAACGCCCGTCGCTCTTGTCGTTGGAATGCTCGCCGCCGTCGTCACAACGCTCGCCATCGCCCTCGTGGCGGTCGCCGCCTTGGTCGCCGTAGCACTCGTCGCCGTCGTCGTCGTAACGCCCGTCGGCGTCGTCGTCGCAACGTTCGTTGCTGTCGTCGCCGAAACGCTCATCGTCGTCGTCGTGAAACTCAACGGAGCCGTCATCGCAACGCTCCGCGTCGCCGCGGTCGTCGGCACGCTCGCCATCGTCTCGGCAATGCTCGTCGCTGCCGTCGCCGTCGTAACGCTCGTCTTCGTCGGTTTAAAATTCGTCACCGTCGCCGTCGCAGCGATCGTCACCGCCGCCGCCGCAGTGTTCGTCAATATCGTCGTCACCGTCGTCGCCGTTGCGATCGCAACGCTCGTACCCGTCCTCGCCGAGACACTCGTCGCCGTCGTGGTCGTCGTACTGGTCGTCGTCGTCGTTGCAACGCTCGTCGGCGTCGTCGTACCAACGTTCGTCGTCGGATAGCCCGCTCCCCGGGGACTGAGCGCGAAGGCAGATCCCCCTCAGTGTAGAAACCAGAAATGCCCGTCACACTGCTTAATTACAGGGGCACTCTTTAAAAATCGTTGCTGGAGACGCGCGGAGACGGACGACGAAGCACCTGGAGGCCCGGGCCACGGAGAGGTTCACGGGGGATCCTAGCGATGGGCAAAGTGAGAAGGACCATGACGACGCTCTGCACACATGACGAACAGTTGCGATATAGTTGCGATTTTCCGCCAGCCGTTCCTGCTCCCCCTCCCTCGCCCTGCACAAGCCCAAAGGAACATTTGTAAAAACCTAGAAACGCTTTCTCTGTTTCAAAACACACAAGAAAATCGCATCGCAACTACGGATTATGGGGAACCTACCAATCCCACATCCTCCGCCGCCTGCGCGCATCCAGAAACCATGTTTGAAACTCTGAAAGCAGTTCCGGGTCAACAACAAATGATGAGATTGCGCAACTATGGTGTTTTACCGAGTTCCCTCTTCTCCGCTCTCCTAGACGCCCTCTGGCCGCAGCGACAAATATTCCAAAACATGTGAGCATACCTGCATTTCGCAAAACACGATTGACAGACTCGCGAACGCCCCCGGTTAAAAAAAAACTTACAACAATTATTATACATACAAACGTTCGTCGGTTCCCCATGTGTCTTTGTACACCGCGCTGGCATGGTCAAACCTTCAAACGCTCAAACTACAAATACGATCAATCGTTCACGCTTCAAACTTACACTGTTCGAAATGGCAAACTGCTGTGGCGTGTTTTCGCGGTTGAAGCAGTTTTGCCATGCTTGGCAATTTAGAAGACACTGGAAGTTTGAACACATGACATATGTGTCTCTCTGGAATAAGAGCACGGTCAGTTTGACCTATTGGACCAAGCACATACTGTACATCCAAGAGTTTGAGAACTTCAGACAATTGCAACATGTCAAGCATCAAAACCTCAAGTGTTCACCCTCGGACCCATGTATACATGAAAGAACCTCCTCTTTGTGAACCTATGAAATGTCAAACCTCAAAAAACAACGAAGCTACATGCGCATCACCCTCATAGGGCATGGGGGGGGGCCTGGCCCCTCCCGTTGGCCCTCAAGTCCCTGCAACATGCATGGGGCAGGGGGCCCGACCTGGGCGCCTGCCGATGATCTCGACGAATAGTCGACACGAACGCGTAGACGGCCGTGTCTTGCGGGACGCCGAATGTGCGACGTTTAGGTGAACGCGCTTCTCACGAATGCAAGCAATCCTTCTCGCGCCAACGATTCGACTTCAAAATCGTCTGTTGGGCGCCGGGGGCATGACACTCTGGCACGCCCCGAAAGCGCTCTCGCGCGCGCCCGCTCGCACGCGGCAGTGAAGGGCGCGCTCTGAGGGCGCTCTCTCGCGCGCGCCCGCCTCCGCGCGGCGCGCTCTGGCGCGCCCCGAGAGCGCTTTCGCGCGCGACCGCTCGCGCGCGGCAGTCATCGGCGCGCCCTGCGGGCGCTCGCGCGCGCGCCCGCTCGCGCGCGGCGCATTCTGGCGCCCCCCCCCCGAAGGCGGTTCCGCGCGCGCCGGCCGCTCGCGCGCCGCGCATTCTGGCGCGCCCCGAGGGCGCGTCTGCGCGGCGCTCTCTGCCGACGTCCTCTCGCGCGCCCCCCCGCGCGCCCCGCGCGGCGTCTCCGCGGCGGCTTCAACTGACGTCGTTTCATCCGCAGACCTCGGCGCGAGATGCGGGATTGGCGCCGCGCGCCGACCCCAGCGCGCCGACCGCCACGCGAACATCGCGCTCCCGAGATCGCTGCCGACGCCGCGCGAGGAATCACACCGCGCGCGTTCGAGCGCTCGCCGAGCGCGCGCGGGATCGGATTGCCGCGCCTCGGGGGCGCTCTCGCGCGCGCCCGCGCGCGCGGCTCTCTCTGGCGCGCCCCGAGGGCGCATGTGCGCGCCCACTTGCACGCGGCGCGTTCTAGCACGTCCGGAGGGCTCTCCCGCGCGCGCCCGCTATAGCACGCGGCGCCCACTTCCCGGCGCGCCCTGAGGGCGCTCTCGCGCGCGCCTGCTCGCGCACGGCGCGCTCCGAATGCGCTCCTGCGCACGCCCGCTCGCGCGCGCCCGCTCGCGCGCGGCGCGCACTGGCGCGCCCTGAAGGCGCTTTCCGCACGCGCCCGCTCGCGCGCGGCGCATTCTGGCGCGCCCCGAGGGCGCCCCCGCACGTCGCGTCGCGCACCACTTCTGGGGCGCCCCGAAAGGACTTCCGCGCGCGCCCGCTCGCTCGCGGCGCAGTCTGGCGCGCCCCGGGGGCGCCCCCGCGCGCGCCCGCTCGCGCGCTGCTCTCGCAGGCGCGCCCCCGCGCGCGCCCGCTCGCGCGCGGCGCGCTCTGGCGCGCCCCGCGGGCTCTCCCGCGCCCCCGCGGGTGATTGCACGCGCGCGGCGCGCTTTGGCGCGCCCCGCGGGCTCTTTCGCCGCGCGCGCGCCCGCTCGCTCGCGGCGCTCTTCGGCGCGGGGCCGCCCCCGCGCGCCCCCTGCGCGCGGGGCGGTTCTGGCGAGCCCGGGAGCGCCCCCCTGCGCGCCCGCCCGCGCGCCGCGGCGCACCCTGGCGCGCCGCGAGGGCGCCCCCGCGCGCGCGCGCTCGGGCTCTCGCGAGCCCCCCCCACCCCACCCCACCCCACCCACCCCGCCCCGCCCCACCCGCGCGGCGCAATCTGGCGCGCGGCGCGCCCCGCGGGCCTTCTCGCGCGCGCCCGCTCGCGCGCGGCGCAGTCTGGCGCGCCCCGAGGGCTCCGCGCTCGCCGCGCGCGCCCCGAGGGCGCGTCTGCACGCCGCTCGCGCGCGGCGCTCTCCGCTCTTATCTTCTCGCGTAGCCCTTCCGCGCCCGGCGCGGCGCTTGCGCGGCGACTTCGGCCGTCACATTTCCACGCGCCGATCTCAGCTCGAGAGATGGGGCCAGCGCCGCGCGCCGACCCAAACGCAACGCCGCATCGCGCGCGGCCGACGTGACCGACGCGCGAATCGCCCCCTGCGCGCGCGAGCGCTAGACGGGAGAACAAGGAAGTTGCCCGGCGCGGCGCGCCGACCCCAGCGCGAACAACGCGGCCGCAGCCGACGTCTTCTCGCGCAGCCCCCCCCGCCCAGCTCGGCGGCTGCCCGGCGGCAGCTTGCGGCTGCGACGCGGCCGCGACGCCGCCGCAGGGCCCCCGCGCGCTTTCGCGCGTCACCAGCCGCGCGACGAGGCGCCATCCCGCTCGGCGCTGCACGCCGACCGCCATGCGAACATCGCGCGCCCGAGATCGCTGCCGACGCCGCGCGAGGAATCACACCGCGCGCGATCGAGCGCTCGCCGAGCGCGCGGGATCGGATTGCCGCGCCTCGGGGGCGCTCTCGCGCGCGCCCGCGCGCGCGCGGCTCTCTCTGGCGCGCCCCGAGGGCGCATCTGCGCGCCCACTTGCACGCGGCGCGTTCTGGCGCGGCCTGAGGGCCCCCCCGCGCGCGCCCGCTCGCACGCCGCGCCCTCCCGGCGCGCCCCGAGGGCGCTCTCGCGCGCGCCCGCTCGCGTGCGGCGCGCTCCGAGGGCGCTCCTGCGCGCGCCCGCTCGCGCGCGCCCGCTCGCGCGCGGCGCGCATGGGCGCGCCCTGAAAAGGGCCCCCGCACGCGCCCGCTCGCGCGCGGTGCATTCTGGCGCGCCCCGAGGGCGCCCCCGCACGTGCCCGCTCGCGCGCGGCGCGCTCGACGCGCCCCGCGGGCTCTGGCGCGCGCCCACTCGCTCGCGGCTCTGTGTGGCGCGAGAGCGCTTCCGCGCGCGCCCGCTCGCGCGCGGCGCACTCTGGCGCACCCCGAAGGAACTCCCGTGCGCGCCCGCGTACACGCCGCGAACTTCTGGGGCGCTCTCTGGCGCGGGGCCGCCCCCGCGCGCCCCCGCGCGCGCGGCGTTCTGGCGCGCCCCGAGGGCGCCCCCTCCCGCGCGCCCGCCCGCGCGCGGCGCACCCTGGCGCCCCGCGAGGGCGCCCCCGCGCGCGCTCGCGCTCTCGTGCGCCCTGGCCCCCTGCGCGGTGCTATCGGGCGCCCCTTTGCGGGCTTTCTCGCGCGCGCCCGCTCTCGCGCGGCGCAGTCTGACGCGCCCCGAGGGCGGTTCCGCGCTCGCCGCGCGCGCCCCGAGGGCGCGTCTGCGCGCAACTCGCGCACGGCGCGCTCAGTTCATATCTTCCCGCGCAGACCCCCCGCGCCCGGCGCGGCGCTTGCGCGGCGACTTCGGCTGACATGACCCCATGCGCTGATCTCAGCACGAGACGCGGGACCGGCGCCGCGCGCCGACCCAAACGCACCACCGCATCGCGCGCAGCCGACCGACCGACGCGCGAGTCGCCCCCTGCGCGCGCGAGCGCTAGACGGGAGAACAAGGAAGTTGCCTGGCGCGGAGCGCCGACCCCAGCGCGAACCACGCGGCCGCAGCCGACGTCTTCTCGCGCAGCCCCCCTCCCCCCCAGCGCGGCGGCTGCGGGGCGGTAGCTGGCAACGCCGCCGCAGGGGCGCCCGCGCGCACTCGCGCGTCACCGCGCAGCGCGGCGCCATCCCGCTCGGCGCCGCGCGCCGACAGCCACGCGAACCTCGTTTGCCAGAAGACGATGCCGGCGCCACGCGAGGAGTGACCCTGCGTTCGCTCGAGCGCTCGCCAAGCGCGCGCAGAATCGGGCCGGCGCCGCGAACCGACCCCAGCGCGACAGGCTGCGTTCCGAGAGTGGGCCCCCCATGCGACGCGCAAGTCTTCACCCGCGCGCGCGAGCGCGATCCAGGCAAGCACGGCAGTTGCTCGGCGTCGCGCGCCGACTCCAGCGCAGGCAGTGTCGTGGCCGGCCGCGGACGCGGCGCACCAGTAGTCTGCATGGCGCCGCGCGCCGACCCGAGCGCGAACAATTTCGTCGCCGGAAGGACGCTACTGTGCCACCGCGCATGGCGCGGCGCGCGCTCGACGCATGGCCAACGCGTCCCCGCCAGATATTACAATCGCCCGGCGACGATGCTGGACTGAGCATTGCGGAGCGATTCCCCCGTGACTGCGCATCGCCAGTACACTCCCCCCTTTTTACAGGAAGGGTTGCGTGGGGGTGGTCGCGCTCGAAGAACGAGCTCGCTTTCGGGCGCGGCCGAGGCAGGGCGGGGCGGCTGGGGCACGGGCATCGCGAAGCGCGCACGGGCGCATCCCACTCCCAACAATCTCGTTTGGGGGGGGGGGATTCGTGCGCGCATTTCTCGTAAGCGCTCTCTCCCAATATTTCTCTCTCTCTCTCTCTTCCTGTGTGTTTTTTTTCTCTCTCTCTCTCTCTCTCTCTCTCTCTCTATATATATATATATGTACAGATATGTCTATATATCTCTATATTTATGTACAGTTGAATATACACAAGTTTGTGTCTCCCTTGTGTTCTCTCTCTCTCTCTCTATTGTTGTTATTTTTGTTGTTCCTCTCTCTCTCTCTCTCTCTATGTGTAAAAACGAGAGCGCAGCACACGCCCAATAGGACATCGATGGCCCCCAACGTATATACTCCTGGTCCTCCTCCTCCGCCTCCTCCTCCTCCTCTTCCTCCTCCTCGTGTCCACCCACCCCATCATGACGACCCACCTCTTCATTTTGTGTATACTCACCCCCGCCCCTCCTTTTCGTGTTGCTGTTCATTTCCCCCCCCCGCCCGTCCTCTCTCCCTCTTGAGAAATACCCGCGGCCCCAAAAACCTATAACACCGATGCGGCATGCCTCCTTTTGGTTGCCCCTCCTCACGGTAATCAGAATCACCCTTATCAGCATCAACATCGTCCTTATCCAGTTTCTCCACCTCCACCTCCTCAGGCGGTGGCGATGACATCCTCCTCCTCCTCCTCCTTCTCCTCCTCCTCCTCCTCCTCCTCCTCCTCCCCTCCCCCTCCTCCTGATCAACATCAGACTCCCCATTCCCTTTCCTTTTCCTCCAACGTATCCTTTTCCACCTGCCCCTCTTTTCACTCAAGACCTTCCTCCTCGTCCTTTTGAGCCCCCCCCCCCCATTTCCTCCTCATCATCATCCCTGCACCACGGCCGCTCCTCCGAGCAATGCTTCGACGCAGGTCACCCCGTTCTTTAAACCCCGTCCTGCTCCTCATCTCATCAACCCACGCTCCGACGACGGCGATATCATCTTCTGACGACGACGACACCTCCTCCTCACCTCGTCCCTCTCCCACTCTTCAATCCTCCTCGCCATATCATCCTGCTCTCCCTCCCCCCTTTCGACAGCCTCTGGATACATCGGGAAACCTCAAGGAGGCTTCGACCTCCCCACAAAGACTCCGAAAGCGCGCCGCTGACGACGGCGAAGACGGCAACCTCGAAGACGGCGAATTCAAAACCGAATCCAAAAATCGGATCGGATCGGGAAGCGTGTCGGATCGAGCTGCATCGGTACGGAGTCAACATTCCAATCGGACGGGCTGGGCCAGTATGCAGGCATCCGGCCGGGGCAGATGTGATAACTTCTGGAGGCGTCCGAGAAGTGACGGAAGCCAGGAGCCTGCCTCCCAGAAGCCCCGCGGCAACGACGGCGGATCGAGACGGAGCATGCGACGACGGCGCCGTCGAGGCGACGGCGGCGGCGGGAGGCCACGGAACGCGACCGCGTGCGGGGGCGCGCGCCCGACGTCGCTGGGCGGGTGCTGGAAGCATGTGACCAGGGCCCTCGGCGAGGGGCGCCTCCTCCTCCTCCTCCTCCTCCCCCTCCTCCTCCTCCTCCTCCTCCTCCCCCTCCTCCCCCTCCCTACGAGGCCACTGCGGCTGCGCAGACCGCCCAGGGCCAGCCACCGAGGCGCGCCGAGGGGTCGCGGGGTCAAATGCGGGGGGTGGATGCCGAATGTGGCCCTACCTCCCCTGCTCCTCCTCCTCCTCCTCCTCCTCCTCCTCCTCCTCCTTTTGTTTCCTCCTCCTGCTCCTGGTTCCCCTCTTCCGCCTCCTGCCCCTGCCCTCCTCTACCTGCTGCTCCTCGTTTCGTTTCCGAGCTGATTGGAACGTGTGCGCGCGGGGAGACACATGCATGGCGGAACGACAATGGAAAGGACAGTTCGTGCATCGACCTTCCGTAAGAGGATATCGTTGCTGCATCAACGCCCCTTGGTTCGTCAAGGGGAAGGAAGCGAGAAGGATAATTCTTATGTCCTGGACCGGAAGCGGACGCTTGCAAAGTAAATGGGTTGTCCGGGCGACCAGCCGGAACGTCAGCGTGGTGCGGCCTTTGGTCCTTTCTGACCCGTCCGCGGGCGTCCTTGGCATCTTGCCGACCGAGTTCGGCAACGACATCATTCGGCAACCATTTAAAAGAAGCCATGACTACAGAACGGCAATTGTCATACTTACGTATCTTACAAAGTATCCGCCGCTCGTACGCGAGTGAGGAAAACCTGCAAGCACGCAGGATAACTTGTTGTATCGATGAAATCGCGAACGCGGCGCCGCACACCATGCACGAAACAAACATGGGTGGCTAGCTCCTGTCTCGGGTTGCATGTGTGCGACCCAGATGGCACGAACATGTGTCCCAAGTCCTCACCTCATTAAGCCCGCGCTCCTGCTGGGCATCCCTGTGCAGCCCTAAGACGCTTCGGATTGGCAAGGGTCACAAGGATCAATTTTCCTACGGGCTTGTTTGCCTCCCCTGAGAACCTGGAGTCAACATATTTAAATCTGCAGAAACTGCGTGCATCCAAAACCTGCGGACTGCAATTATGCGAGACAGCACAACCATCAGCGCACGCGGGGCACGCAGGCAACTCAGCTGAAGAGCCCAGCGCGCATGCACAAGATCATGATCGCAGGTGCAACGAAATACTCGTGCTCAACAATCGTCGTGACACGGGCAGCGATTGTTAAGCGGATCTTGCATCACAACCGTCTAAACTTTCATCAGCTCATCAGTGTGCGACTGATGCCACGTATTCTCCTGGTGAACAACAAAAACATGCGTAAACACCACACCCTGGCACAACGCAGGCCGTGTTTCAACGGGAACAACAGCATGTTGCAGCACGGTGTAGCGCAGTTGATGGAATAAGCCCCTAAGAGCATCGAAATTGGCCGTGATCTCTGGAAACATAGAATCCGTAATCCGTAGAAAAAGTGAGCGTACCAACGTGCTCATAATGGGCCGTGGCATCCAGCTGGCGTTGCACACCGCGAGCGTCAAAGTGAGTAACGCCCCTGCGGTCAATGAAAAGCTGCCGCTGTGCTTCAACGAGCCCAGGGCCCGCGAATCTGAACAACGCTTCTGTCTGACCTCATTTGACATGAACGAACAACGCATTCCCGGAGAAGACGTCCTCGAAAACTGTCGCGCAACCCTTCATTCCAGCAACCACCTCGCACGCCGGAACCAAACAACGGCTGGACAACGTCACCCATGTACCCTACCGCGCCAAGGTGCACTGACTCCTGGCGGCGCCCGCCCTCGGGCGCAGAGCCGAGAGGGGCGATCAGCGGTCCCGCGGGGAGTTCGGAGAGCAATCTGGCAGCGGCGAGGCGCAAGTCCACTGCGTGAGCCACACGGCTGAAGGCCAGGAAGAAAACCAAGTCCCAAAGAGTGTTGCCTGCAGGACTTCCTGACGCATTCTGCAGGCAGCCGGTGTTGCCTTCCGCAGCAAGCCAGCATCGTGAGGCAACGCTTCCCTCCTCGTGGCTCCTCCTCCCTCCCCCATCCGTCCCTCGTCCTTACTAACATCTGCCCCCTTCCCTCACCACCAGACGTGCCCATTGCCTGGCCTAGCCGCGTGCTTCGCATAAGACTTCTTTGGCATGCAGGATCCTGCTGCTCAGAGCTTTTCGATAATGACGGGCCGCTCGTGTCCACCATGGGGTTGTCGCCTTCCCACCGCGCACAGACGTCTTGAAAGTGTGCCACAGCTTTAATGCTGGAGGGCTGGTGGTTTTCAAAATACGCTTCCCGCCCAAGGGGTGCGCGCATTCGTCTTTAAAACTTGAGGCACATTCACGGATAGTGGGCCAGCGGCTTTAAACATGCAGTTCTCGCCTTAGCGCCAGACGCATTCGTGCAAAAAGTTTGCAACAGCTGTAAGGATGGAAGGCCAATCCATTTTCAATATGATTGTTTCCGCCTGGGTGCCGCGCACATTCGTCTCGACTGTTTGCAACAGCGCCAATGATGGATGACGATTCCTTGTCAAAATGGGGCTCTCGCTTAACACTTCCTCACATCTGAATCGCATGTGCTTGAACATCTGTCACTGCTGCTTCTGCTGGTCCCTTTTTGTTCCTCCTCCTTGCATTCGGGCGTTGGCAAAACTAGGCTTAGTGGGACCTGGTTTAGTGATGCGTACTGGGGGGCGCACCCCCTGCCCCGTTCCACTAACCGGAACTGCCGTTACGCGAAGAAACACCAGCTACGGCAGACCTGGCTTAGTGAGTCTGGCCAACTTCGGGGCTCCGGGGCCCTACCACTAACCGGGTCCCCTTACCTGGTGTCCTGGCTATACCCGATGCGTGTCCGCGTCTGCGCGTTGCTTGCCTCTCTTCCGCCTCCTCCTCCGCCCCCCCCTTCCTCCTTTTCCTCCTCCTCCTCCTCCTCCTCCTCCTCCTCCTCCTCTTCCCCCTCCGCCTCCTCCTCCTCCTCTTCCTCCTCCTCCTCCTCTTCTTCTTGGCTCCTCCTCCTCCTCCTCCTCCTCCTCCTCCTCCTCCTCCTCCTCCTCCTCCTCTTGCTCGCGGGCACCCTGGGCGCTGCCGCCCAGCTCCGCCGCCGGACGCGGAGAGCAGAGGGCCCTGCGCTCCCTGCCTCTCTCTCTCCCCGGCCGCCTCGTCGCCCGCCCCCCCCCTCGGAGCATCTTCGTTCGGCGGAGGGCAGAGGTCAGGAAGGAGAACAACACACAGACACAATGAATCGTCGATCCCCGAAAAGATCTGGGAAGCTAAAGGAAGAGAAAGGGGAAGACAAACACCCAGGAAATGTAGGGAAATATGCGTTTGTTTGTGTGTCCCAGGGCCCCTTCAAAAGGGTGACATCTGAAATGCCGTTTCGATGGATTCTCCAGGCTTGAGTCTGCAGAAGGTGAATCACGGGACGGATGGATCTTCGAGGTGCAGAAGCCCATCTGGAATTCCCCCCGAGCCCTCCGTCCCAAGAAAATGCTCAGACCCCTCTGTGCTCGTGCCCTCGCCGTCGTCGTCCTCCAAATCTTGTGGGCCTGCGCGGGGTTGCTCATATGCAGACGCCGCTTCAAACATTTCCAATCGTGGTCTGGCAGTGCGGAGGCGGCCAGGTGCGGCCAGCAGGGGTTCGTGTCCCTTTCGGTCCAGGTCAGGGACTGCTGAGTACTGAGGGCATCCTTACGCTGCTGCATCTCGTCTTCGCCGTCGGCTGGCAACTCGAAGGCACCCTCACCGCAACATGTCACAGCTGCACAAATGGAGGACGGCTCCCGTTCGGAATGGGGCTCTCGCTCGAGACTTCCCCGAATTCACCCGCCAGGCGTGCGGGGGACAGGACTGGGCCCCCCAGCCCGTTAGGAGGCCGCAGGGGCCCAGTGCCATGCAAGCCCGGGCTGGAAGCGGGCTTCGCCATGCAAGGAGTGAGTCTCCTCGGCATGCGCTTCGGGGGCGCAAACATGCATTCGCGATCCATGGATTTGGCGCGCGGTCGCCACATCCATGCATCGGGGGAGGTGCCCTCCCCAAAATGCGGCCGGTGCCGCCTCGCTCGGCGGCGGAAATCCGCGATTCCTGATTGAAACGGGACCCGTCGCTAATCCACGCACCCTTGATCCATGTTTGCGATCGTTACCAGCCTCGAACTCATCCCTATCCCGGAGATTGACACGCCAAAAGGCGATGACAATCTTAGGGATGCGCCCTCAAAACCTAAGGGAATCCCCAAGATTGGCATTGTGATGAGGCGATGCCCAGCTCAGGGATAGGGATATGTTCCAGGCTGATAAGATCGCCTGAGAGTTGCAGCTCCGATGGACGGCGGGGGCTCGGCCCCGCCTCCCCCTGTGCAGGAGGGAAGTCGGGCGCGGCCGGTCGAAGCCGCCGCGCCGCGGCGGGGCGGTCCTGCCGGGCGGGCAGCGCCCAGGCGGCTATGGCGGCGGCCGACGACGACGACGACGACGACGACGACGACGACGACAGTGAGCCCACCTCTGCCTTCGAACCACCACCGTGCGACCCCGCAGGGCGCCTGGCCAGGCGCCCTGCGGCCCCAGGCCAGGCCCCCCGATCCGCTCCCGCCGCCGGCGCTGTCGCGGCTGCCGAGAGGCTGGCGTGAAGAACTCGGGGGCCGACCCGCCCGCGGCCATGAAGGTGGCCTGTTTGCGCGCAGCGGTGCGGGGCGGCCAGCGGCGGTCTCACGCTTCCTGCTCCAAAGTGCCACCACCGTCCTGCTCTTCTTCCTGCTCCTCACCTCCTCATCCGTCTCCACCTCATCCCTCTCCTCCTCCGGCGAGGACGACTCCGACGACGTTTCGTTTCGTTTCGTGGGCGTCTTTGTTTTTCCTTGTAGGTTGTTTGGGGCCAATTTGGGCCTCTTGCGGGGGGGGCTAATTGGGCTCCCCCTTCTTTGATCGAGCTCCTCCAAGATGGCCACAAGATGGCCCCCAAGGCTCCCAAGAGCGCCTGCCCCAAGTGCCCCAAGAGGTGTCCAGGAGACCCCAAGAGGCCCCAAAGAGGTCGCCAAACAACTCCCAAGAGACCCCCAAGAGGCCCCTCAGAGGCTCCCCCGAGGCACCCAAGACGTTCCAAGCGGCCCACGGAGCCGCCAAAATGCCCCCAAGACGCCCCAAGAGGACCCCGATAACCTCTCAAGAGACATCCGAAGAGACTCCGAGAGGCATCCAAGAGACATCTGGCCTTTCTGCTCGCCCTCCTCCTCCTCCTCCTCCTCCTCCTCCTCCCTCCTCCCCCTGCCCCTCTCCTTCCTCCTCCTCCAATTTCTACACCATCCTCCCCATCTTGGAATATGACGTCTTACCGAGCCCTTCATTCCACTGCATGCTCCTCCACATCCCTGATCAGGGCAACTCGTCTGGGCATCGTTTCTGGATGGGCTGGTGAGATTACGCCAAGCGTCTATAACTAAACTTCTGACGACGTTCAAGCCACGCTTTGAGCCCTTCTCCCAGGGTGGGTCTGGAAGGGCTGGGTCAACCACTCGAAACCATAAAACTCATAGAATCCTGTCTCCCAGCGCCATACCTATACGACAACCCTTCGGGTGATAAGGAGGTTGTGGGGGGGGAGAGGGGGGGAACCAACATCTGACTCAATCAATCTCACTATCGATCTCACTCAACGGGACACCACGGGACACCACGGGACACCATGGGACACCACGGGACACCACGGGACACTTGTCGATCTCACTATCAATCTCACTCAACAGGAAACCGCGGGACACCACGGTCCACCACGGGACACCATGGGACACCACGGGACACCTCTCGATCTCACTATCGGTCTCACAATCGATCTCACTATCGATCTCACCCAACGGAACACCATAGGACACCACGAGACACCACGGGACACCACGGGACACCTCGGGACACCACATCGATCTCACTATCGATCTCACTATCGATTTCACTATCGATCTCACTCAACAGGACACCACGGGACACCACGGGACACCTGTCGATCTCACTATCGATCTCACTATCGATCTCACTTTTTGGGACACCACGGGAAACCACGGGACATCTCGGGGCATCACATCGATCTCAACATCGATCTCAATATCGATCTCACTATCGATCTCACTCAACGGGACACCACGGAACACCACGGGACACCACGGGACACCGGACACCGCGGGGCACCACGGGACACCACGGGACACCGCGGGACACCGCTAGGGCCACAGCCGGACGGACGGACGGACGGGGGAGAATCATTTGTCTTGACTTCGCCCTGGCAAGGGCGGGTTCATTCCTCTCGCACGCCCACGCATCTTCGCCTCGCCCGCACGCACGACACGAACGAAACCAAACGATTTCCCGGTTGGGGATCTCCGTTCCACTACGATCTCACCCCCCAACCTCCGACTCCGACAGCATGTGGGTACACCTGGGTGCCATACCACTGTTTCATGGCGTCACCAAGGCTCGGTCACGGTACCTGGGGGCTGTACGCCACCCGATCGGGGGAGGCAGAAGCGAGCTGATGGATGTGGTCCGCCCAGACGTGGGATAGCCCTCGACACGTGACAGGCCAGGGCTTGAGCTCGAAACGGATGCGGACATCCTGGACAATGGCCATGGCCTGTTTCATCTGTTCAGCTGCTGTGTCGGCACGGGGCGGCTGGGAGAGTCAACGTAGCATGATATTGTGGTGTTGCGAGATATTGCTGGGGACCGGCCCTGTAACATAAAAGCTACCTGCACGATGTGCCCAAATTGGGCGCACGCATCTAACGAGAGGCTTCAAGCGTTTGTGCAAACAACTGTTCACAATGGACTGCCAAGGCTCGCCAAGCACACTGGTCCCGATGTTGAACGCGACACGCGCAGGCTCTATCAAACGCAACATACATGTGTATATATATATAGAGAGAGAGAGATCAGCCTATCAGATCGTGGCCCTCTTCCTGCCGTCCACAAGGACTTACAGCAATTACCGTATTGCGAAGGCTTATATAAGAGAAGCTCGTGCACCATTCCGTATAATCGACTGGGATTCCCGCTCCATCTTCATTGAGCAGGCAAAGGCGAGCTTCCGTCATGTCAAGCGTCATCTGAAGGAACGCGCATAACAGGCGGAAATTACACGCAACACGTAAAAGCACTGAGAACACAGTCTTCGGACCCATGGAGCGTGAGCCGAATGCCCCATCCTTTTTTTCACAGAGAGGGCCAGGAACTCGTCAGAGGGAGTGTCAACAGAAAGCGTTCTTAAATTCAGAAGCGGCGAGGTCGCCCTGACTGAAGCTCTTCTCTCTTCGAACTCGACCTGCTAGATCGCACCCTGGCAATCTGCATCTGGTCCACGAGCGATCCAGAACTTAATCGTAGTGTTGAACAAGCCGTGGCTGGAGGCCCGCGCTGCCAACAACTGGCGAAGACCGCTGTCGCATAATTGCCGGATGCCGCCTCCCACTACCACTAAGGGAGGCACGCTGCGCAATACTCACAAGGCTTCTCAGGCTCCATACTCGCCACCGCGCCCTTGAGGCACCAGGTCCCGTGTTCGATCCCCTGGAGTCTCAGTCCTCGATCCTGCACCGAAGTTGCCAACCAATGTTCTAGGGCTGGGCGCGGCTTCTCGTGTGACTTCCCTGGAGCCAGGAAGACTCGAAGACGAACCACGAGGGCCCCAAGAGTCCCCTCAAGACGGTCAGAGAGGGCGCGAATCGCCGAAGCATCTTCCCAAGACGCCCAAGATGGGCCCGATGGACGGCCCTAGAAAGCCTCGAGACGCCCCAAGAAAGCCAACGTGTCTGCCCAAGAGGGGCCCAGTTGAGCCAAAATCACTGATGCCCCTTCAGTTATTCAAAGTTTTTGGACTGCTCGCCTTTCCAAGCTTCCTGCGCTCCAAGACGGCCCACGAGGCGCCCAAGACGCCCCAAGAGGCCCCCAGCAGGCACCCAGAAGGGCCCCAAAAAGGCTCAAGAAAGCTCCAAGACAACCCCACAGACGCCCACAACGACTCAAGAGGACTCAAAAACGACAGCCCCAAGAGGGGCCCACGAGGGGGAACACGAGCCGAAGAGGCCCCTAAGATGCTTTCCCAAGAGGCCCCTAAGATGCTTTCCCGAGGCACCCAAGAGGTCCCCGAGAGGCCCCGAGAGACCCCCAAGAGGCACCCAAGACGCCCCAAGTTGCCTCAAAACCGCCCCCAAGAGGCCTCAAAGGGACCCCTATGAGGCCCCCGAGAGGAGAGGCCTCCCGCGACATCCCAACGAACGTCCAACAGACCTACGAATCGCAACCCAAGCGCGGTGGCGTTATAGGGCCGGCGGCCCCGGAAAAAACGCACCCCCTTCCCTAACGAATTTGGCCCACCCTGGGCCTTTCGGGCAGCCCCCCAGACGACCTGGGAGGACCTCACGAGAGCCCGAAGACGGCCCCAGAGGGCCCCCGACGTTCCGGCGCGCTCCCGAAACAACCCCAAAGAGCCTCAAGACGGTCGACGACGACCCCTAAGGAGCAGTCATACTCCCAAAGATCGCTCCAAAATGCCCCAAGAGGTCTCAAAGAGCACTCCCAAGAGAGTCCCAAGAAACAAAATTCATTGATTTTCCGTTGGTGCGCGGAGAAAGGAGTTCTCCCCTTTCCGGCTTCCCGACGCCCCACGAGGCCCCCAAGATCGCCCTAAGATGGATCGACAGACCTCCACGAGGGCCCCAAACCGGCCCAAGAGGGCCCCAAGACAGTCCCGACAGGGCCCCAGGAGGCGCCTCAGAGGCCCCGAAGAGGACTAAAGAGGGCCCCAAAGAGGCCTCCATGATCCATGGAGACTGCGGGCGACTACCCAGACATGATCACCTCGTGAAACAAACACATACACTCAACGACGGGAGACTTGGGGCCGCGTCTGGGATCTGGGGGCTCTTGCCTGGCCCCTAGACCATCAAAATCTACTCGGGATGCAGAGCCTGCCCTGGGGAACGGGTCGGCACTTCCAGGGACCCCGTACTGAAAAGTCAGGACGTCAAATTTCTGGGTCAAGCACTCGACCCAAGCAGCCCAGATGGATTTGCGAGGGTCCTCGTAGGGGGCGTCTGAGAGGGGGCGCCCGAGAGGGGGGGGGTCAGGAAATGGCATCCCGAAGCTAGTGCGCGACCCAGCGGGGGCCAAGGGACGCACTGAAACAAGAAGATGGGGCGAGCATGATGTCATGATATGATTGGCCCAGGATGCGTTCCAGGATTTGCAGAATATCTAGCGGCCCTCGTTTCTGCAGCCCGCGTGAACATTCGGACATCTGGGAAACCTTGGAAGCCTGAGAACTTATCATTATCATGACCTCTTGCTTCTTCAAGAAGAGGGGCCGCGGAATATGAGGGAGAGCGCGGCCCCAGACACGATGCCCCCCCCACGCACACGCGCACGCACACAACACAGACACACACAATGGAGGCAATTCAGAAAATGCCTCCCTCCTCCCTCGTCCTGGGGGCCCCAAAATGAATGAGTGGGCCAGACTAATAGAATTCAGCCGCAAGAAATTGTGTGTTTAATCGTCCGCCCTCCTGGCGTTCTATCGCGCCGCCTTGCGGAAACTGATCTTCTATTCGTCCTCCTGCGCCCATTTGACCACCCGCGCCCGCGGGGGGAGGATTGCGGAGAGAGACCTCTAGAAGCGCCGCTTGGGAGCCCCAGCGCAGATGCCTATGTTTCCCGTATCTGCCGTTCCGAATAAGGAAGAAAATGCGCTTCAGCAGATAAGCAAAAGAGGAAGGGAAAAAGGAGGGCGGGGAGGGGAGGCGAAATAGAGGGAAGGAGGGAGGGAAGGGAACGAGTCACGGAGAAGCGAGCACAATAGACAATAGGTATCCGAAACGCTTCCGATATATTTGCCGAAACAGTTATACAACGTTTCCAAACGGATTCGTTGCTTCTCGCCACGTTGAACCGTTCGCGCCAATCTTGAAAAGGAGAGGTGCTGCCTCATCCACTCTTGAATGAAAGCGTGTATAGATGCATGACCATGCCTCCTGCACAATATCAACGATGCCGACAACGCCAGAAGCATCGGAAATCTCCTGCAAAATATGAACACCAACGGTGTCGACAACGCCAGAAGCAACGGATCAGTTTAGGAACTTTGTACAACCGTTTCGGCAGAAACATCGGGAGCGCTTCGGACACCTATTGCGCTCGCTCCTCTGTGCCTCGCTCCTTTCCCTCCCTCCATGCCTCTCTTGCTCCCTCCCCTCCCCACCCTCCTTCTTCCCTTCCTCCTCGCCCCTCGCCCTTGTTCCTAGAGTGCATCAAGGGAGAGACGGGAATAGTATTCATATTGAAAAATTATGGAGGATCAATAATTTGCAGGGGGAATGTGAAAAGGGATGGAATAGCGAGGGAAAGTATGATGATGAGGAGGAGGAGGAGGAGGAGGAGGAGGAGGAGAATAGGAAGAGCTGGGGGAGGATGTCGCTGTCTGGAGGCGGCGCAGAATATCTGCTTTCCGCGCAGGGCTGGCGGGTCAGACATTTCTACTTCATATTCAGGGCTGGCCACGAGCAACTCCCGCGGCCTCGAATTGTTCGCCCCTGCGAATTCAAATCGTCAGCCCGCGAAGTCCTTCCCAGCTTTTCCTTCCCCGGCTGTGGATTGACCCTCCGCCGCCCCCCCGCCCTGAATTGTCAGCCCGCGCTCCCCCCCCCCGGGCCTCCAAAGAACCCGGGATTGTCCGCCCTCCGTCTGCCTGTTCCGCCCCCCCGCCCTGAATTGTCAGCCCGCGCTCCCCCCCCGGGCCTCCAAAGAACCCGGGGATTGTCCGCCCTCCGTCTGCCTGTTCCGCCCCTCCGCTATTGCGGCGGCGCGAAGGCCCGCGAAACTATTTCTTTAATCGTCCGCCCCTGAAAATTGTTTTAATCGTGTGCCTCCATTACACACACACACACACCTGATCATCGCCCCCCTGCTGGCCGCCCCCGACTCCCTGGCCGGGTCGACATGTGCGGCCCCCCGCATGCCCGAAAAACCTAAAAACACCCGACCTCTTGAAGCCCAGGCAAGAGCCCAGTCACCCTATATCGATCTGGAAAACCTCTTGAACCTAGACGCCCGACCTCTTGATGCCCGAAAAAACCCGACCACCCGACCTCCTGATTTTTCCATACCGGGTCCCAGGAAGCCCCGACCGTTGCCCCATGGGTCGGCTTGTCGTCCCGAGCCGCATCTTACAACCTTTGGGGCCCAGCTGGGGGCCCCAGAAGCCATCCGAATATTTTCACAACGCTGATGCCTGGTCGGGGGCCTGCTCTGACGACGCGCACCGGGGGGTAGGGGGAGGGGGGAAGGCCTCTTAGAAGCAGGCTGCTTCTTAGAAGGCGCTGGCATGACATCTGCAGGTCAGGCCCGCACCTTCCAAGAGGCAGGGTGTACTTCTACGAAGCCTTGCCCCCTCCTCCTACCCCCCTCGACGCGTGGCTGACTACTGACCCGGGTCAATGCACACCTGGGTCAGTCGGGCTTGGCACGACCCTGCAAGACCCTGCAGGGTCCTGCCGGATCCTGCGCGCCAGCCCGGGGTCAGTGCAGCCCTGGCTCTGCAGGATCCTGTAAGATTAGGCTCTGGCCGACCCCGGCTTGCATCTGGGGCGGCCGAGAGGGGGGCGTCCAAGAGGGGGGGGGTGCAAATCGTGGCCGGCGGCATGCGCGCGGCCCTTGGGGGGGGGGGCATGGACGGAATGAAACAAGAGGAGGCGCCGCGCGGCCCTTGGGGGGGGGGCCAGGGACGGAACGAAACAAGAGGAGGCGCCCTGAAAGAAATCTGGGGAGAGATCATGGCCCCCGCCACGATATCCCCCCCCCCCCCTAGTCATCACCCCCCTCTTCGCCGCCCCCGATGGCATGGACCCCGAAACTGGGCGAGAACGCCGGTGCGGACAAAAAAACAACAAAAAACAAAAAAAAAAAAAAAAAAAAAAAAAAAAAAAAAAAAAAAAAAAAAAAAAACACGCAACGCCCACCCGACGCTCGGGGGCGGCGGCGGCGGGCGGCGGAGGCGCGGCGGGCCCCCGCGACGTCGGGCGAGAGCCCGAGCTTCTCGCTGATGACGTCGAGGGACGGCACGAAGTACCTCGCGCGGGGGGAGGGCGGCGCCTCGTTTTTGAAGCAAGAGAGAATACACGAAGAACACGAAGAAATACACACGTTGAATACACGAAGAATACACGAAGAATACACGAAGAATACACGAATAATACACCTCGTTGAAGTACCTCGCGCGGGGCCAGGGCGGCGCCCCGTTCGAAAGGGGCCCCGGGAATCCCGTTCACTGGTTCCGTCGCCGTTTCTGTTACCGGTTCCGGCTCCGGTTCCAATCCTGGAGCCGTGTTTGTTGCCGTTTCCGGTCGCCGATTTTTTTTGCCGTTTCCATTTTCAAGGGGCATTGTTCTGGAAACGGTAAAAGAGAAAACGGCCCTGCCGTTTCCAGGGCCCACAAAGCCCTGGGACACACGCATACATGCACACAACTAGCAGGGCGCCCCATCTCTTCCTACATTTCCTGGGTTTGTTGTCTTCCCCCCCCACTTCCCAGATTTTCCCATACTTTCTGGGGAGTCGACGACTCGTTGTGTCTGTGCCTGTGTGTGTTTTTGTTCCCCTCCTGCTCGTCGTCGTGCAGGACTTCGCGACGTCTGCTGCCCGTGGCGGCTCGCGCATTGAGCCGCCACGGGCTCCCCGGAGTCGCCGGGGGGCGTCGCCGAAAAATTTACGCTGCCCCGTCTGCGCCTGCTTCGGCTCGTCTGGGCTCTCGGGAACGGCCAGGAGTGAAGGGGCCCCAGGAAACACAAATAAATACACACAAATAAAAATATTCCCCCACATTTCCCTATATTTTCTGGGTTTCTGTCTTCCCCCCAACTGCCCATATTTTCCCATGCTTTCCTGGGAGTCGACGATTAATTGTGTCTGTGTGTTTCTTTCCCTCCTGAAAGAGGGGGGTGTCCAAGAGGGGGGGGGGGGGGGGGGCAAATCGTGGCCGGCGGCACGTGCGCGGCCCAGCGGGGGGGGGCCAGGGACGCAAGGAGATGAGACGGGGCGCCCTGAGATCTGGGGAGATCTCATGGCCCCCGCCATGATATCCACCCCCCCCTATTGGGCGCCCGACTTATCCGGGGTAAGTCGGGTCCGGGGTAACTCGGGCTTGGGTTCCCGAAAAAGGAACCCGAGTTAGCCCTGACCCGAGTTACCCCTGATGATTCGGGGCTCTGGACGCCCGAGTTACCCGGGGTAACTCGGGTCCGGGGTAACTCGGGTTCGGATTCCCGAAAAACGAACCCGAGTTATCCCTGACCCGAGTTACCCCTGATGATTCGGGGCTCTGACCCTAGTCATCCCCCCCCTCTTCGCCGCCCCCGATGGACTTGCCCTGCTCTGCCTCGGCTTCTCTTGCGGCCGGGATCTCCTGGGCAGCGTGCCGCCACGGCGGGCCGGGCGCGGCGCGCCGATGCCCTGGCGAGCGAGCAGCGCGCCGCCCAGCTCCGCGGGGCGGGTGCTCGGGAGAGGTTGGGCGCCCGAGTTATCCGCAACTCGGGTCCGGGGTAACTCGGGTTTGGATTCCCGAAAAAGGAACCCGAGTTATCCCTGACCCGAGTTACCCCTGATGATTCGGGGCTCTGAACGCCCGAATTATCCGGGGTAACTCGGGTCCAGGGTAACTCGGGTTTGGATTCCCGAAAAACGAACCCGAGTTATCCCTGACCCGAGTTATCCCTGATGATTCGGGGCTCTGAAGAGGTCTCTCGGGACGTGGGCGCTTCGGGGTCGGGACGCCGACAGCGCTTCGCGCCGAAGCGCGGTGGGCCGCAAGAGCGGGCGGAGCGGCACGCCATCCAGGAGTCCTCGACCGCAGCTCGATCCCCGCGAGACGGCCGGAGAAGAGCCTCGGTTTGCGAGCCACGGGGGGGGGACGAGAGAGGAGGCGGACCTCCTCAGAAGGCTCGGACGCCCCCCGGCCTGCCGAGAAGTCTTCGGAGCCCTCCCCGAAGAAACAGGAAACCGCTCAGAAGGCGCGAGGGCCTCTGGGAAGCCCGCCGCCCTCCGAGAAGGCCCTCGTGCTTCTCGCGCCCCCACTCCGCTCGCCGTCGACCGCTGCCCCCGCAGGCCGACTGGAGAAGAGCCGCCCAGCCTGCTGGGACGGAGGGCGGGACGGCGGCGCCCTGTGGAGGGCAGCGGCCCCCGCGACGGCGGCGGCGGCGGGCACGCGCGCGCGTGGGGAAGGGGGGGGGGCGGGCAGGCGGCGCCCTGCGAGCGGGGCCGCCCTCAGGGATTTCCGGGGGCAACCCAGCAAGGTACCGATGCCGCTGCTCCCCGGACCTCTCCCGGGGTGCGTTCTGATCGGGGTGTCGAGGCGACTCGCGGTGGCGACGAGGGCCTCCCAGGAGGCCCCCCAAAAGGGGAAGGCGACGGAAGGGTGGCGGTATTGGTACCTCATGCTTCCCCTGAGTGAATTCCAGGACGCTTCGGCGATCTTGGCGGAAGAGGGAACGGCACGAGCACAACCTCGGTAAGCGTGTTTAAAACGGCCCAGAAGTCGCGCAGCGGCATGGGGGGCAGGAAGATCTCTCAAGGTGACCCGGCGCCAGGTTGGTACCTTCTTGCCTCCTGGCCTCGCGGCCTTTGAAGCATCCCCTCAGGCCTCCAACAGGGGACTGCGGCTCATGCGCCTGAGCGGCCTCACCTCCCGCTCGCCTCCGCCTTCTTTCTCTTGCCCTTTTCCTTCTTATTCTTATGATCAATCGAATTCTTATTCTTCTTATTAGCATGATTCGTATTCTGCGTATGATTATCAGTATTCTTCTTATTGTTATTAATATGATTATTATTCCGATTCTCATTCTATTCGTATTAGTATCATTATTATTATGTTTCGTCTGATTCTTAGTATTAGTCGTATCATTCGTCTTGTTATTCATAGTCGCCTTCTTCTTACGTTACTGTAGTAGTACTAGTGGAGATAGTAGTAGTAGTAGTAGTAGTAGTAGTAGTAGTAGTAGTAGTAGTAATAGTAGTAGTAGTAGTAGTAGTAGTAGTAGTAGTCGTAGTCGTAGTCGTAGTCGTAGTCGTAGTCGTAGTAGTAGTAGTAGTAGTAGTAGTAGTAGTAGTAGTAGTAAATGTAGTAGTAGTAGTAGTGGTAGTAAATGTAGTAGTAGTAGTAGTAGTAGTAGTAGTAG